TGTCCTTTCCGGAGCTCCACGTCCCCGCTGAGGCGGTGTTTGAAAGTGAGGGGAGAGCTGGGAGGCTGGGGGCAGCCCGACACGCATGGGCGATGGCATTGGTTAGCCCAGCAGGACCAAAGCCAGGGGCAACTTTTGGGGGAGAGATGGCTGGGCCGTTGGCACCCAGATGGGCCCGGAGGCGTGACGAGGACCCCTCTGTCGCCGCAGGCACCGGGGACGTCGCCGGCGACATGGCCAAGCAGCTGCAGGCGAACAACATCCGGATCAGCGTCCTGGAGGAAGAGAACTCCCGGCTCCGGGCCGCGCGGGGCCGGATGAAAGAGGCAGCCCAGCAAGGAGCATTACGGGTGAGGTGGAGTGAGGCGCCGGGGGAGAGGGTGGTGGAGAGCCATAAGAACGGCCGTACAGGGTCAGACCAAAGGTCCATCCAGCCCAGTACACTGCCGGGCCTTCACCCCCTCCTCCGGCGAGGAGTTCCACAGATCGACGATACGCCGTGTGAAGAGCTTCCTGCTGCCCATTCGCTTCCTGCTGGCCCCTCGTTCTTATAGTACGGGAACAAGCACATCCCTTTTCCGTATTCACTTTCTCCACACCAGCCTGGTCAAGGTCTAGCCTTCGCCGCATCCTGTGGCGAGGAGTTCCCCAGGTTGCCTGTGCGCTGCGGGAAGAAAAACGTCTTTTGCTTTGTTTGAAACCTGCTGCCTGGGGGGGTTTCATTAGTTCTTAGACGGCGGGACTCAGTGCCTAACTTTTCCTTAGTCCCTTTTTCCACCCCAAAGCATGATTTTCTCGACCTCCACCCTATCCCCTGCTTAGTCGCCTGTTTTCCAAGCTGAAAAGTCCCCGCCTCTTTAACCTCTCCTCATAGGGGCCCCGTTCCCAACCCCGAATCATTTCACTTGCCCTTCTCTGAACCTTTCCTAAGGCCGCAATATCTTTTTGGAGATGAGGAGGCCACATCTGTACGCCGCGTTCCAGATGTGGGCGCACCACGGTTTTATAGAGAGGCAAGAAGCTAATCTCCGGCTTATTCTCCCTCCCTTTTTCAATGATTCCTAACACCCTGTTTGCTTTTTGGACGGCCGCTGCCCACGGCGCGGACGTCTTCAGAGAACGAGCCACGCTGACGCCAAGATCTCTTTCCCGTTTTTGCTAAATTCGCCCCCGTCATATCGTACGGAGAGTTGGGGTTATTTTTTCCAAGGCTCACCCTGCAAGCTGGGCGTCCGGGGAAATTAAGGCACAACCACTGTCTTAGAGGAGGATAGGCCTGGGGACGAGGAACCCCATCCTGAGGGCGGCAGGGGCGGGGAGGAGGAGACGATCCTGGATTGCAGGATCACGGGGTCCCCTCCGCACGATCCTGGAGTCCCAGGCAACCTTCCTCAGGGCGGAGGCAGGTTCGCGTCAGGATTTCGCTTCCCAAACCACGCCCCGGGCTGGCAAATGAGCAGCGGGCCCCGGCCGAGCCGCGGGTGAGGAGACCGGATCTGCCCTCCTGGTCCTGGCTGAACCCGGTGGATTTCCGTGCCTGGATCAGCGTGTAGGCTGCCCTCCCGCCGCCGTGCTCCTCTTCCGGCTCTCGGTACAGGCGTGTCCGGAACGGGGCTTGGCCGTTCCTTTCCCCAGCTGGGTTGGGAAACGGCGGATCCGTGCGGCCGCACCGCTGCCCGGAGCCCCGGGCGGTTGTGTGACCCTGGGGGGCCCTGCGGCTTTTCTCCAGGACCGACCGGGAGGCAAACTCGTACAGACGACCCCCCCGCCCGGCCTGGTCTGAGGCGGTCCCCGCCACCCCCTACGTGCAGCGAGCTGTAACCCCCACGTCTCTCTCCAGCTCATCCCGCAGACGCAGCTCTGGCCTCCGTCCTCCCGGATTGGCTCCAAGGACGGCGCGGTGGGTCCCCCAGGGTGAGCAGGCCTCCTCCTCCCCGTGCTGGGTTGGCTTGGGGGGGCTGCCTCGCGAATGCCTTGTCCCGCTTCTCCTACAGCAGCCCTGCCCTCGCCCGCCAGCCGCCCGCCAGCCAGCGCCCGCCAAAGCCAGCCTCCGCCACGGCGTCGTGCATCTCCCTGCCGGCCCGCAGAGTCCAGCCGCACTCCGCTCCCGGCTCCAGGAACCGCCGGAAATAGAACGGCAGGGAGCGGGCCCACCAGCCGCACAGAGCAAGCTGCTTGCCCACGCGCTGCTGGCCGAGCTGGGCTACACCCGGGAAGGGCCAGCAGCCGCCGGGCCTTGCAGCCTGCGTCTCCGCCGGCGGAGGAAAGACCAGCCGGACCTTCCGGAGCAGCAGGATCTCTCGGCCTCCCCGGATCCTGCTTGGGATCGGACAGCACGTACTGCAGAACCTGCAGGGACGTCCCCCCCCGTCCCACAACTGACGGTTTGTGAGACAGCGCACCCCCTACGCCCCTCCTCCATCTGGGCAACGGCCCGGGTTAGCAGCAGGGGCAAGCCCTTACAATCCCAGCTCGCGGCCAGTGGAAACGACGGGGCCCCGGCGTCTGGCAGACTTCCCCGCGCCTGCCTAGAGGATCGTACCGGCCTCGAAATCCGTTGGCCGCAAAGGTGGGCGAGCACCCGCCCGCCTTAAGAACACACCGTCCCTGCGGCGTAAGCAACATCTGGCAGCCGGGAACGACTCACAGCAGGATTCACGAGCCCCGGGCACTTTTCCGCGTCGCTTTCTCGCACGGGACGCCTTCGAAACGGCGGCGGGGAGAGAGAGGGCGGAGGGGAACCCAACCCACGCCGGGAGGAGACCCGGCACAAGGAACCCAACCCACGCCGGGAGAGAGCCGAGCACAAGGAACAGCGACAATCTTTGCTGTAGGTTTAATAGCGCCGGCGGCGTTACAGAGCCGGACGGGGCGTCCAATCCAG